ATTTGTGCTCCCTGCCCCTGTTAACCCCCCCCCCCCAGTTTTTTTTTTGCCCTTTCACAGGTTATAAAAATGACCTTTTTTTTATAAAATAAATGTGTGGATTGTAAGCGGTTCAACTTTTCACTATTGTTGTTTGTTTTTGTTTCGTGGTGACTTTATGTTGCCGTACTCAATAGACGGGTTCTCACTTCCGGCATTCTTTTGTAGTCTCCATCTGTCCGCAAAGCTCCGCCCTTGCACTGCTTAGTGTGCATACCCATGATGCATTTGTTGTAACATTGAAGCAAGTACAATATTTATGTTGTCTAATTTTATTTTATCGTTTAACGTATTATGTCTTGCATTTTTTTCTGCTACATAATTTATTTTCTATCTTTTGTACATCAGAAAAAATCAGTAGTCTCCCATAGAGAAGTAAAATTAGTATTCTGTCGGGGGGCGGGGTTCGTCTTACTCTGTGCTCCTTATACTCTGGTTTCTCTTCAGATCGAATAAATCTTTCGCCTTTTACTAAAGATTTCCGTGGAGAGGAACAATTATGAGTTTCATTCAATTTTTTGAGGCCCAGCTTATGCTGGGCTTGCTTCTTGGTAAAAGTCAGAATCAAACTTTGTTATGTGAAACAATTTCTGTTGTAATATGAATTTATAGATATTACCAAATATCATCATTTTCCAGAAGTAAATATTTTTCTGTGATTTTTGTTTAATTTTATTTGTGTGAAATTTTAATGTTGCAAACTTGAAAAAATAACCTAAAATAAGACAGATTATTGAAAATGTTGAATCTAATTTTCCTTTTATTGAAACCGATGGATTATGTCTGATTTTTAAGGGTGGCAAAGAGGAAAAGTAATTACGTTTGCAAAAAAAATATTTCTAATTCTTAAAGTCCTTTGAAATAAGTGAAAATGGAAAAAGAAAATTGGTGAAATATTAAAGGAGAACTATGAGGTCAGTGTTTTCCCCCATAGTTCTCCTTAGGGTAACGGGAGGACACAAAGTAGCGTCCTCCCGTCACCCTAAGCTCAGTATATAGGGAGCTACAGCTCGCGGTATACTGAGACGCCGCAGCCGGAGCGGATCCTGACTTAGATGACGGGATCCGCCCAGCTGCGTGAGTGACAGCTGGCTCTGCCTACCCGCCCCCTCCCCAGCTGTACCGGCCCCCTCCCCTGTCCGATCCGCCAGTCAGCGCTGGTGGATCGGAGCGGGGAGAGGGGAATCCAGCCCCTCCCCTGTGACGGCAGAGAGCCGTGACAGGATCGAGAGGTGAGCGAACGCTGGTATGTGTTCGCTCACCTCCCGATCTACTGAGCCGACCTGTGACAGTCTCATTGTCACA